CAGTGGTGGGATTCAAAAAATTTTTTACTACTGATTCTGTGGGAGTGGCTTGGTGGATGAGGTGTGGCTTGGGGGCATGGCTTGATGTGTGTGGCTGGGGAAGGATACTGCAAAATCTCCATTTCCACCCCCACTCCTGGGGGAAGGATACTGTAAAATCCCCATTCTCTCCCCACCCCACTAACCTGCTTTCCATCTCTGTTCTCCTGTGCAGGGCAACAAAAGAAGACCCAGCCGATCAGCTGGGACTCTGGAGGTAGAGAATAGATGGGGGCGGGGCCAGTCAGAGGTGGTATTTGCCGGTTCTCTGAACTACTCAAAATTTCCACTACCTTTAGTGCAATGAGAGATATGAAACTTCAGATTGACAAATTTCACCTTGGCTATGGCCCCAGATTGAACTGGGTGGTCTCTGAGTTAAATTGGACTATCTTCTGAATTCAAGGTAAATTTTGTGAACAGTGCACGTCTTTAATTGGCCATGATTATAAGTAAAGGTGATATTTTTCCTATGCACAATAATGATTATGTGCATTGAACAAAGAGACAGTAATTATTTCAAATGAAATAGTGTAAATATTGATGATATTTTTTTGTCTAAACACATTTTTTTCTACTTAACACATAGTTCCAGGAAATCTGGAACCTGTTTTTAGGTGTTCAGATGAATTCCAGTAGAACTGAAGTTCATAAATAGGATAAATAGGAGAATGTGCATTGTTCTTTTAGGGAGAAAAAATCAATTCCTTTTTTTAAAAAGGGGGATATTTCCAACCCATGGGCTGTTGGCTGCACGTGGCCCTGGACAACTAGTAATGTGGCCCTATAAGATTATAAATTTTTAAACTTATTCTGTGATTTATATACATTCATTTTATTATATATGCAGCCCGAGACAATTCCTCCTCACTTAATGCAGCCCAGGCAAGCCAAAAGGATGGGCACCCATGATTTAAACTAAATAAAGGTGGTAGGCTAGATTGAGAAGTTGGTGCATCTTGAAAGAAGTCGGTCCAAAACAATTGCCAAGAAAATTGCACGCAGGTATCCTTGTAGGGACCAGGAAGAGACAAGTTCAG